GGCATTTTGCTCACCCCTCTAACTCAGCACAGACACAGTAGGGATAGAAACTCCACTCTCCCATTCCAACCTTTCATTTTGCCAGATACAGCACATTCTTTTGGCCTCCTCCTGCTTCTCAGTTTCCTGATCACCTTGGCATCTCCTGATCACTTATGTGAATTACTCTCATATTCTGTGACCAATTAAAACATTCACATTTTTCATTCTCCTCTGCCACATCCACCTGAGAAGCCTCCAGCACTGAGAGAAAAATTCTTGCCATCAGTCATCCTCTGTCTGACCTTGATTTTTTTTCACCTTTTTCATTTCTGTCACACAGGTGCTGCCATTTATCACACATCTCCCTCCTCTTCCCAAACAAAGCCTCCCAGTATCACCTATGCAGCAAATATATCACTATGTGTCAGCCTTTTGATGGGATCAGAGAGAAGAGAAACAAGGTAATTTATGATATTGCAATCTCATAATGGAAAAACAATACTAATAACTTGCCAGCAGACAAGTTATTTCTCCATAACAAAAAATTATAGCTTCCCCCTTATGTTACAAAATGTGTAACTGATTAGTCTTGCACTATCCCCTCACCTCAGCAATCTTAATTAATATATGGTAATTAACATATGATGGCATATTAATTGTGCACATAAATCCCAGTATTAGCTTTACTGTATATCTTTCATCTCAAAAACAAAATAAAAAGCTCCAGTAAGATACCATGGTAAAAATGCCGTTCAGTATTCTCTTGAAGTCATTGAAGAAATGTGAAAAAATGCAACTTGAATATCATAGGAAAGATTAATAGATCTTAATAAAGAAGTTGACAACTGAGTGAGCTCCCTGACTCAAGACACTAGCCACTTAACAGCAAAATTTCTCTTTTTGTTTTATCTCTTATCTTTCTTCTTTTCCCTCTTGATACATTCCACAGACATTGACCAGACAAAATAAACATCTAGAAATTTCTGGGGGAATGACTTTCCAGGGCTAAGATTAATGACTGCAAACATCAGGTATAATAGCAGGGGGAAAAGAAAACATACACACAAAAAACCTCTACATCATCTAATTCTAGGATGCCTATTTTAAAATATTATATTTGAACATGCCAATTCAGTAGACATCACTAAAGATTTTTGCCTCAAGTTATTTTGTTTCCCATTTCTTTATGTAGTTAAATTAACAACTACAAATGTCTTTAGACAAAATTATCTTACAAAAATATTGACATGACTTTTAAGGTCTGTTGCTGCAAGGCCAGGATTTAGAAACAAATTAAATTTGATGTATGCCATTTCAAAGGTCAATTTGAAAGGTGTATGCTGCACCTATTTTACAATGCAATCCCCAGGGAGCCAAACATATTGAATGCTGCAAGTAGACATTGCAATAATTCCGATAATTATGGTAATAGGCAAGTAGGCAATAGAGGTTTAAATAGATCAGAACAAGCATATTATTTAGAGAAAAAAGAAATTTAAATTAATTCAATTAGAAGTAAATGACAACAACTCAGGTCAGTATTTATTTCAAGTTGAGAGATATTATGCTTTCTTATATTTTTAAAGAGACTGAGATATTACAGCAAAAGGCAGTAAAAATATTTCATTGTCATCCAGCATAGTCCAGTGTCACTGCATATGAAGGTCTTATCTGTCCCAGAATATTGCCATTCTGATAGAGGCTGTGCACACACCTAATTTCCTGATTTTCTTTTCTGATCTCTATAATTTTCAGTAGTAGAAGTGAGAAGGCATGAATCCTTTATTATTACATGAGTAATGTAAGGAATAAGTAAATGTCCATTCCTGAAACGTGCTCTCACAGAAAAGGAAAAATTTTTACGAGATGAGCAGAGGAAGAAGTGAGCAGAACAACCCTGAAGATGTTCAGTGTCCATGCGAGCTGGTACACGGTGCTGCAATGGCACTACTCAGCTTTGACTCTGGACAAAGCAAGCCCACCTTCCCTCAGACAACTGTTTGCAACACCCTTTTACTGAATTATTCCAATTTGAAATGTGAATTCACTGCCTTAAAAATAGGTATCTGACCAGCAATCACTATGTAATCCAGAGTGCCACTGCTCTGCCTTGCCACATAACTCTGAAAAGTGAACAAAAAAGAGAGCGAGGCGGAAAGATATTGCTTAAAATTTTTTAGTTCTGTATCCAGGAGATCCATTTATTTTTGAGAGATTCTGATTCATTAGCATCCTCTAGCCCTTTGTATAGGCAAAACTAACTTTATGAGATGCATGATGACACGGTGGAGTGGAACAGAAGAGAAAACCAGTGCATGCTGCTGCAGGGTTATGCCTTTAGCGTGGAAAGACCAGCGGCTCTACTGTCATTGCATTAGCTTACAGAAGTGACTTTCACTTTTCTCTCTAGTGACCTCAGTGCAGGTAGCTCAGCTTAGGGTTAAGACAGTCACCAATGTGCTGTCTTGAAAGCTTTTCACTAGACAAATACCTTTTCCAGGCAGTGTAGGGTGGCCCTCACCTCTTATCTTGGCCAGCCACACAGTAAGCATTAAGTGAAGACGTGACAGTTCTGATCCTCTGTCAGGTAACATGGAATGATAACTGTTCAGAGACACACTCACTATCCTTCCACTGCTTCTTGCACAAAGTAACTGAAAACACCTTATAAATGAGGCTGATTCTCATTACTTTCCACATTTTCCTTGAAACAAGTCTGCAACAACTCCCAAGCGACTAGTCCAGTACTGATAATGGAAGTTCTGTAAGCTCTAAATTGGCTATTCTCTTTTTCTTTTTCTTTTTTTTTTTTCTTTAATTCATTTATATTTCAGCCCTAGGCCACTCTGTTGGTTCTGAAAATGTTTTACTGTTCATGAGTGAAGTGACGAACTCCTGCCATCTAGAGGGTGGTTGCTGAAACATATTTGAGGCAGATAATGTTTCCCGGGGTAAAATAAAACTAAGATAAAAATCTTAGCATCTACGTATCTCCTTGGGACTTTTTCTAGAGTTCTCCTTCTTTTTCATTCATGAGTTTATGTAAAAATGCCCAGTCACATCTGCGCACGTGTAAAAGTCCTTTTTTCAACAGTTCCATTCATTCATGAGAGCAGAGTAGCTGACTAGGATAATGATTATAAAATAGATGAAAACTTTCTGTTTGTGTTGTAACCAGGTGTCCGCAAAGGAGTAATAATTAGCATTGACTCCATGATTCTCAGAAGGCTGATCAATCACTTTATTATTCTATACGTACTAGGAAACCCATCGTCCTTACAGAAAGTCACAATACAGATGGACCCAATTGGTCCTTGAATCCAAACACATCACCATTGGCCAATTAAGAAACCAACCTTTGGTAAACAAATCTCCATAACACATTCCACATGTTCACAACAACAGGTGCAGCACATAAGAATTGTTTATCATTCTTTTCTCTGATCTTCTCACAGCCTTTCCCAGGACAATGCCTGGGAAAGTTATGCGTTGCTCTCTGTGGCCAGAGAGCTGCTGCCACATGTTTGTATTTTTTTCCAATGCTATAACATTTATCGTAATTGTCTTCTTGCATTCATGGTTGCCTAAAACAGACTACAATGGTCACAAGCAGAATACAAGAATATAGGTGATTAATGACATTCATTAAGAAAAGTGAGACTTATACAAAAACTCCTCTAACATCTCAGAAAATATGGTATTTTCTACTAAGGTTTTTAGTTAAACAGTGTGACTGACAATACTGAAAAATTACTTTCCCACACACTTTCTCATGAAGAAGAAGCATCCAGTTTAGTGACCACCACGATTTTTTTTGTTACTAAACAATAATGCTGTTTTCTGTGCATCCCACTAACCTGCTGTGAAGATCACGTCTTGAAGGAACAGTGTGACAAGCAAACAAATTGTTGTGGGAGAATCAACAACAGCCTCACAAAAGTTAGGAGGGTCTTCCTAGAAAGGCAATGATGGCCCATGAAAACCTGTGTCTCTCATTAAATGAAAATCACATTCCATAACCAGAAGCCAATTTTCAGGAAGAATTACATTCACCAAGTACAATGTGAAGCAACACAAGCACCTCACTTCAGTGAATTGATGATCAAAGCATACGAAGCAATGCCCTGGATCTTACTTATATGAAATACGTATCAAACCCTTTCTAGGTGAAAGACCATGAAATACACTGGAATGCCATCCATGCACTCATCTTCCATTAAATATATATGCAATACATCTTCTAATGATTTTCACAATGGGTTTTCTAGGCAATATCCATCCGTGACAGCGACTTGCATAACCGCAGAGGAGACAGAGCTGTGAGCAGTGTTTTTTTTATAGCACGGGTATAATTGCTCTTTTTCACCTGTCGAGACAGAGCTGTGAGCAGTGTTTTTTTTATAGCACGGGTATAATTTCTCTTTTTCACCTGTGAAAAACGCCAATCACTTGTTTTTCAAATTTTAAAAGTTTAATAGTAGTAATATAATCAGAATAATAAAGTTTGAACAATTGAGGTTAGGACAATATGAGACAATAAAAACCAAGAGGTGTCATTTTAATACTTGCGAAAATCCAATCATAAAATACACATTTTTCACACACCTACACTGTATTCCTACCATTTAGACTAATCAATACTTCATTTTAAAAACAGCTCAAGTCACAGATGAAAGAATTCAGAGATATCTTTTCAGGTACCCATTACAACCACAACTAATCGTTGTAATTGCTATGTCCAAAATTCAGTGTCTTGACAAATGAGAGCAGAGGTGCAAAAGCCCATGCGAGCAGATGCAAAAGCCCTTCCCTGATGCCCGCGCCGCATTCCGTGAGGGCAAAGTGGCAGAATCGCGCCCAGAACGTTCCCGCCGGGCGGCGCGGGCCGGGCGGGCAGCGCACCGCGGCGCACCGCCGCTTCCGGCTTCCGCGCGGCCGCCCGAGCCAGGTTGGAGGGGAGCGGAGGCGGGAACAGGAACGGGAACGGGAACGGGAGTGGGAATGGGAATGGGAATGGGAATGGGCGGGCGGGCAGGCTCGGGACGCTGAAGGGGCAGTGGTGCCTCAAAGGGGCCAGGCTAGAGGCGCTGAGGATCTCGGTTCCGGGCCCTTGCGCCTTCCATGCCCGAGCAAGCGAAGCGGTGTCCGGCTCCCCCATAGTCGAGTACCGGGGAACGCGGAGCGCGGCGATCCAGGCTGGCAGCGTGACGCGGCAGGTTCGGGGGAGCCGGGTGCTGAAGATGAGGGAAAGCGCTAAAAGCTGAACACCGGCAGTGTGCGGTCACACGCCAAGAGCAGTGCTGCTGTCGGCGCTTCACCCCACAGCCTGGGAGCGGATCTCGTCCGGCTCCCGGCGGGACGAGGTGCCGGTCCTGAGGAGGCAGTCGATGAGAGGGGACCTGAGGAAAGCCCCGCACACCTGGGCGCTTACAGCACAGCAGCCCACAGTGCAATTTTTAGCCACCTTGCTTTTAAAAAGGGGAGTAAGTCATAGGCATCGCAGTGCCTGGAAAATGTTTTTTGCGTTAATAGGGCATTCAGTTCCTGATCCTTTTAATTATGAACTACTGTTAATACAGTTTTTAAAATTTTTATTTTAAATTGTAATTTTGTATGAGTGATGAAACAGATTTTGAATATGTATAGAGTGAAAGCTGTTTGATGGTCAAGGACAAGAAACCTTGAAATACAGAAAGCCTCTTCTGGGTGTTGGTATCTGTGGCCTGACAAGGGTAGCCACACAATGAATAGCCCGTTCCAGCTGTTCACCATGTCTATGACAGCAGAGTGGGGCAGTGTATCACCAGACAATGAGGCAAGGCACTGTCCTGCTCAGCACAGAAGATCCAGGAACTTGCTGGTGGAGTCAGGAGTGTCTTTGCAAACTCACCAAGGACAAGAAGCTGTGACTTCAGCAGAACTTAGATGCCAGGCATTGCTAATGCACCTCACATCACAACCACCAGCTGAAATACACCAGCATTCTTTGGATGTGTAAATCTGGAGGGAAATCTGTAGTCTTTGCCCCTGGTTGCCTTAGCAAATAATGCAGCAGGAGAGAGAGTAACAGGAGGTGAAAATTTACAGAGTGGAACACAGTGCTGGGAACCCAATATTCACATAGAACATTTTAGGGGTTTTCCTTTGAACTGTTCACCTCATTCCTGCATAGCCTCCCGATATCTGAGCTCTGCTCCTTGTGCCACAGCATCTGCCATTGAGCTGGGGAGCCACGCTCACTCCCACAGCTGTTGCTTTGACCCAGGCACAGCATTTCACTCCTGAGGAGGAAGCTTCAAATGGAGAAACAGCCTTTGTGCAGAATGCTCCCCATGCAGGAGCTCTGTTGCTCTGCAGGGCAGCACAGTCATACCCTCTGAGGCTGAGGGGGGAACCAGGCATGGACCTACAACCTCTTATTTTCAGTCCTTCAGATGCTCTTTTCTCTCCCACACACCCCTTCAGGGGTGTGGACTGCAGACAGAATCCACTGGATCTTTCCTGCCTGACCATTTGGTAACAGTGTGCCAAAAGTGGAGGTAGAACACGCTCCAGAGGCATTTGAATACTAATTAGTAGTTTCAAAAAAGGTGATACTCTGCTTTGAAAGGAATTGAAGGTAGACAGGGTTTATGCTGTCATAATTTCTGGAATCATAACATTGTTAAGCTCTAGTCCAAAAATTACAAAGATGGTAAATTTCTTTAAAGATTTGAGCCCAGGACAAAGACAACAAACAATTTAAATGAAAGAGAAACAATTTAAGGAAAGAGTGATAAGAATATTGATGTACAGGATATTGTTATTGTTGGATGGTGTTTGAAAGCATGGATTCACTCAACAGCTTTGCTAAAGAGACCTGACATTGCATTTCTATTGTTACTTAGTTCAATGCAACTTTCAGAAAACTGCCATCTAAAATTTCTCATAGCCTGTGTCCTCAGGAGGCGCTGGGGCAGTGCTTTTCATGAAAACAGTTTGTCATTTTGGTGCTTTCCATTATGAAGGAAAGTGGAGAAGTCAAGGTATAAATACTAACCATTAGATTCTGTTGTTAAATCGGCATTTGAGTGGTTTGAAAATTAGTGTGGAGCCTGATATTGGACTCCCAGTGTCAGAAATGTCACATTCTAGAATGACAGTTGCCAGCAGGCAGCACAGCAATATAATTTTGACTACAAAATATGACACTAATGCAATATAAACATGGTGCAAAGTGCAACAGCGCAAGAAAACTGATTTATGTGTGCTATCAAAAGCAAATGTTAGTATCTGGTCAGGACAATATATTTCTGTGTTCAGGAAAGGTAGGATTCTTTTGTTTATAAGACCTTTTGAATGATGATACTAATTTTTCTTCCAAGTTGAAGCCACTAGAATTGACTGCCTGTTGATGCTGCAACTGTCTTTACAGATGCTTATTAAACAGGCAAGGCTAACCAAAACCAGAGGTCCATCACAAATAAACCTACAGATAGTAATGGTTTCATTTTTTTTAAGGCAAAACCCTTCAAAGAGAGTTAAACACAGAGTTCAGGACAGTAAAGTTTTCCAGATCACAAGTTTATTTATAGTTCATCACATGGCTCTTCCTCATGGATTGTCCCCTTATTCTGCATTTCAAAAGAAACTTTCAGGCAAGGAAGTGAATGGAGATGAAGCACAGTTAATGCAGGAACGGTAAAATCCAGGTTTAATGCTGGATATGTCATGTCTGTCCATGTATTTACTTACATAGTTTTATGTGCATTGATTGCATACCTGTTTTTCCCCCCACAGAGAGTAAACATGCCTAAAAAAAAGACTGGTGCTCGTAAGAAAGCTGAGAACCGTCGGGAACGTGAGAAGCAGATAAGGGCTTCACGAGCCAACATAGACTTGGCCAAACATCCTTGTAATGCTTCAATGGTAAATTAAGTGAAAGTATTCTGTATTAAAATACCTAATTTTTAATTATAGAAACCTAGTGACAACACTTTGAATGCATTTAATACCACTAGAATGACATTCTTCCTACTATCCTTCCTATTTAAGGTTACGTTTGCACCAGACAGAATATTGATCAAAAGGTTTGAATCCTAATCATAACTCCCTGTGATGGTGTGTAAATTTTGTATATTTTATCTAGAATGAAAATAATTAACCTGTGTTTTATTTCTTCTCTATAGGAATGTGATAAGTGCCAAAGGTAAGAATTTTTACCCTTCTAAAACCAATAGTTTATTATTTGCTTCAGACATTTTACAGGTATTTTTAATGCTTTCTTTTAAAGCTTAATATTTTCTTTTTTTTTTTCACCCCCATGTGCCTAGACGACAGAAGAATAGAGCTTTTTGTTACTTCTGTAATTCTGTTCAGAAATTGCCCATTTGTGCACAATGTGGTGAGTAGAAATAGTGAATGAAAACAAGCTGTCCTCAGTCCTGTTTGTGATGTTAAACTCTCAGTATCTGTATTACTGTAGGTTTATCTTAAAGTACCTCTGTGATGTGCAGCAGGTTCTTTTGAATCTGCTGTGAATATCCTTGAGAATTGATCTTCTTTGATCAGTATATATGCCTCTAACCCCTAGAGGTTTGCAAGCCTGGATCATGGCTTGTCTTCTTTGGAAAAATTTGTCTCACTTCCTTTTAGGTTTCAAAAATCTGACTCTTTCTGTAGATTGACCATGTGGAGCATTGTTTATAACAGCAGCAAAACTAAAAAGCTCTGACTGCTAGCAAGGCACCAATAAATACTGCTTTTTTAGGGATTATATAATTTCTCATCAATTCAGTATCAATTAAAGCATCAATATATTATTCACCTTGCATGGGGTTGTAATGTAATATGCATCTCTTTTTATTTATGTGGGCTTGAGGGCTCATGCTTTGAAATTAGAAGAGAAGGACTCCTAGTGACAAAACTGCTCACAGTGTGAGGCAGTGTGTCACCCTTTCTGTCTCCTTTCTGTCACCATGCAGTGAAGTACTAAAAACATGCTCTGTCTTATGGTTCATATCTGTGTGTTGCATTTATCTTAATCTCGAGTATGTTTTTAGAGGAAAAACATTGCTATCAGCAACCATAATACTATATTGAGACCCAGGGTTTTCCAACTGAAGACCATTAGAGCTGTTTGATGCTTAATCAAGCATTGGAGACTGTAAACCAACAGCATCTTTGTTAGAGGAGTCTGTGAGGGATGAGAGCAAGGTAGCTCTGTTGCAGTGCTCCACAGCCAGTGATGCCCCCACCACGTCTCACTGCCCAGCTCAGCTGCTTTTATGGTGGGACAGAACTAGCAGTGGTTTTAAACATAACTCTTTAAGGTTTCATTGCTGGTCTTTGACTTTAGTTTTGTTCTTTGTTTTGACATTTGAAATTTTTGCCAGTGCCTCAAAACACAGAGCAAGACCAGTATATTGTCTTATTATCTCAGTACAGGGACAAAAGATTTGACTGAAAACAGATAATAATTAATTTAACCTAATGAAGGTGTGAAGGTGGGTTGCAGAATGCAGCAATAATGCAAACATCTTTGCTTGCATTGTTTTTACCTAGATTTATGGTTAAGCACAGGCATTTAGTTGAAGTGCTGTTCTTACATAAACATGCATTCTATTTGTTTTACATTTTATTTTTACATAGTTTTCTTATGGTTGCTTGCCTTTTTATTTTAAACAGGGAAAACCAAATGCATGATGAAGTCTTCTGACTGTGTTATAAAACATGCTGGTGTGTACAGTACTGGACTGGCTATGGTGGTATGTATACAAAATTACAGCCTTCTTTGCACTAGGAGGATATTCTGTGCAAATCTTCCTGGAAAAATTATAAAACAGATTTATGGAATAATAGCATGCACCATGCTTTTCTGTAACAAACTGATTTTTCCCTTATACTGAAACGCCCAAACTTTTAAGTTACAGATTCAGCTCCTGCAAACTCCAGCACATGTCCTGGATGCTAATGGATTTGTGTTGGTGGCAGTCCCTAAGCACATGCATGAAGAGCACTGGAGTCTTACATGCACCACAGAAAATTCCCAGCCTTCATTAAAATGTAGGATTATTCTGCAGAAACCTGCAGAGTTTTGTCGCTGTTGTCTTAGTACTGCAGAGACAATCAGTAACACAAGAGAGGAATCTGTTCCACTAGAGGGGAATTTTAATGAACAAAACCCCTCTTTTGGGCTCTTAATTAGAGATAATCATAGCTTCATGTCTTTGAAGTTTTGTTCTTTTCCAGTGTCTGCATTCTGGAAAGCAAGGTGTGACCTGTCACAGCCTCTGGATTAAATGGTCTAAACCTCTGTCCTGTTGCTGCCTGCAGCTGGCTGTCAGCTGTTCTCAGTAACACGGCCAGCCTTTACATGCTGGTGTTCCTGAACTTATCCCATGCATTCACTGATGCAGGAGTGAACACATCAACACTTAAATTTGGATTCATCATTGTTTTCTTAGCTTTGTAATGCACATAGTAATTAGTTATCTATGGGCTGAGAGAGCTTCTTAAATGCTACAGTTAAGGATAGCTGAAGCAGAGATCTTATAATTTAATCAAAATAAAATACAGTGCTCTAATCTAGTAGAGTTTAAAATCCAAGTGAGTGATTTCAGCTCTGAGAGTCTAGAGGCATTTTTCAGGTCTTTGAAATTTCATTTTTTCCAGAACATTGTTATCATTTATGGATCCCAGGTTTCACCTGGAAGTCACGATTTTCTGTGTGCAAAGTGTGTGATAAGAAATGTAAAAACTAGGATTGAGATAGGTAACCACATTATTTTGCACCATACATAATCCTGCAGAAATGAATAACAAACAAACGTGAACTGTGGAGCAGCTTGGTTGGAACACAGGTTTGGTTCAATACTCTCACTCAGCCAAAGCAAGCCCATTGAGAGAATGGATACTAGGATACATTGAGGATTATGGAATAAGTCTCTCTGTTGGTATTGCAGAAGTCCTGAAGTGATATCTTGCTGTGATTGCAGGGTGCAATCTGTGATTTCTGTGAAGCCTGGGTGTGTCACGGGAGGAAGTGTCTGAGCACCCACGCGTGTACGTGCCCTCTGGCGGACGCAGAATGCGTTGAGTGTGAAAGAAGTGTCTGGGACCATGGTAGGTTGCTCACATTTAAAAATAAGCACATATAAATTACACTTCTTTCCTTCCATTTCTTCAGTGAATGTACCTATATTCTTAACATAGCCTTTTTAGTCTTCACTCAATTAGTCCTTGCAGTATGTTTGTTCAAAGTGAGGATTCTCCCCATTTTAAAAATAGTCATTTTACAGTGAGGAAGGTAAATGACCTGCTCAAGAACACACAGTGCTCAATTCAGGGATGATTATGTAATCTAAATTATAATGGTTCTATCAGCTTAATCATTCACATAATTAAGCACTGCATCAAATTGCCAACAGTTTTCTGCCATTCTTATTCCATTCTTCTGGAATGCACAGGTATATAGCACAGGTATTTGGATTCCCAGTTGCTTAGGAAATCATGCTGATGTCCTTTTGTTGAATCTTTTAAAGTGTTTATTTCAAGTGTACCAGAGCTGAGTTGGGAAGACTGGATGAGAGCGTGATCTGATTTAAGAAAAACAGTTAATGCTACAGTCAAATTGAAATGAAGAAAAGTACTAGAAGTAATACTTGCTTTATAGTTATGCTGTCTTATATTGTAGCATAGGAGGTATTTTTCAGTGTAAAAATGGATGGCAGTGTCTAATTTACGACCTTGAAGCATTTGTCACAGAAGGTAGAACTGGTCTTCAGTCAAAACTACTGCCTAAACTGTTTGCAGAGCAGGACTTGATGCCTCAGCCCATTGTTGATTATTTTGCCTTGATATATTATTATTATTCTGCCTCTTTCAGGAGGCAGAATATTCGCCTGCTCTTTTTGCCATGATTTCCTGTGTGAAGATGATCAGTTTGAACATCAAGCCAGCTGCCAAGTTCTGGAAGCAGAGACATTTAAATGTAAGTTAGTTATTCATAATCCCTTTCACCACAGCCAAACAGACTCTCTACTTGTTTCCTTTGTGCTCCAGAATACTCTCCATCACCTTTCCCAAATAGATTTTGCCACCCCTGGAGGGAAGGGCCTGTTTCCTATACACTGGCTTTTGGTATCCAGTTATCCAGACTAGCACTTTTTTCATTTTCATGGCCCTTTTTCCATTCCAGAGCATATCTGGCAGTTGTTTTCCTGCCAGGCTCTTACAGGCCTCCCATGGGAAGCTGCCCTTGCAGGAGCCAGCATTCTGCAAAGTTGCAGTATTGGCAGTAGCAGGACTGCAACAAAACAACTGGAACTGCTGATGCTGCTTTTTCACTCCACCAAGCTCTGCAGGCAGCAGGAGCTGTTTTCCACTCTTCTGCCCCAGTGATTAACTAGTTCTAGATACCTGTTCCTCCTGGAAGAGAGCTGCCCTAAACAATGCCACTTGTCTAAGTCTGGCTAAACTTTCCCAGGCTGCTGTGGAAGGCCTATGTGCTGGTGAAAGGTTAGCAGCTGCTCAAGTCCTGAGGAAGGCTGTGACTCAGCAGTCATCATCTGACTCAGTGAGACAGGGTGAGCACAGAAGAAAGTGACAAAAGTAGTCCCAGAGCACGATTTCAGTGTTCATTTCCTCACTGACCAGTGGACTGTGGACATGGGTGTCAGTAGTGTATCAAATGCTGATACATGTTCACTCTTTCTGAATAAAGAACAGGTAGCTGAACACTTTATGTCCTTTTGAACTTTGATTAATTGTGTGGATAAAACTGCTGTTTGTAAGAGGACATGCCAAACATTGTTCACCCATTACTCATCTCTGGCTGAAACAGGGTATCTTCAAGGGAAGTTAAAAAATAGAACAACAATAAAACAAAACAAGCCAAAACTATGCATATTTGAAATAATGAAATTTTTCTAGCAGCATTTCTTGCCTATCCACCATTAAATACGATTTTATTTATCACAAGACAAGTATTTGTTTGTCCTTCCCAAAACTTGCATGCATGTATCTTGACTATTGCAACATTTTAAATTCTTATTGTAGAGATTTCAGGTGGTCTTTGTCGTAAGGCTGTTTTCCTTTGAACTGACTATCTCTTGTCCTAATTGATTTCTCCTGGTCCAGAATATTTGCAATGTTAGTATTTTAATCAATGTCTTTAGACATCTCTTATCTTCTTTTCATCTTCCATACTTTTGTTCCTAGACAGCTATTTTTTAAGTCTTGCTTAGCTTCTCTTGATGTATTCTGCCAGAATTCCCTTGATATATTCTACCAGAATACATTTTCTTCCTGCATAGCAATATTAAAGCAGCAGCAGCTGTTCCATAAGAATGTTTCTTCAATGATTGTTGGAAGCTCTCAATTCACAGATGTGGTATCACACCCTAAATAGAGAGAGAGTTTTTTTGAGGGTTTTCACTGTGTTTTGTGGCACAGAGCAGACTTGGTAGAAACAAGATTTTTATCAGTGAGGTAACAAGATTATAAAACCTGTACTTTTAAAGAAGACATGAACTTCAAATGTGGTCATGCAATTGTAGTATAAATCCATTTTAGCTGTGAAAAAGGCGCTGTTACTTTCCATCACTATCTGAGAGAGGTTTTTGAAGTGCAGGTACTCAAAAAATTTTGAATATATATTCAGTATCAGCATTTCCAGTTCCATCTTTAAACACACCATAGCTCTAAATCCCACATCTGTCCTGCTCATGTGGAGAACTCATGATACTTATTACTTCAGATTGAAAAACTGCTGTCACAGGGTTTAGACAAGGAGGAAAGGAATGAGGACTTGCACAGAAACTGGTAACGTACGCGTTACTGCTTCACCAAACTTCATGTTGCGCCAGTTCCTGAGCGTTTGCCTTTACTGTACTCCCTCTAGTGGAATAATAAAAACAATTTGAAGCTCAAGACAAGTTAAATTTTGGGTACTGATTCTGCTCTTTACAGCTTGTGTGTCAGCTCCAGTTCTTTAACACAGATAGACTCTTTTATGAAGTTTTGTGCAGTCAAGTACATTTCCAGAGGCTATGACAGAAAATACAGAATGTAACAACTTTTCTAGGTTTGGAAGTTTGCAGGCTTAAAGTGTTCTTACATCTCTAGCACTCCTTCATCTGAATGCTGTGAGAAAAGGAAAAGCAAGATGAGACCTTAACCCCAAATTGGTTCTGGAACTTCAGGTTTTAAAAGTTTAGAAGCTCAAGAAATAGTTAAATGCTTTTCCCCTCTTGAAATTTCCTTTTTTTTTTTTTTGTGTCAAAGTGAGGTTTAGAGTTTAAAAAAAATCTAGTAAAATGGTGCTGTGGGGTAAAATGATTGATTTACATTGCCAGAGTACAGTTGTGTCGGGGAATTAAAAATAAATGCCTCAGTTATGGTGTTGCATACTTTTACAAGGTTTTAAAAACATGACAGGTGTGCAGTTTCCAAGTCCTGAATTTGTCATACTGCTTTTCTCCAACAGGTGTCTCCTGTAACAGGCTGGGGCAGCATTCCTGTCTGCGTTGCAAGGTAAAGAGTAAAGACAGTTGTGAGGAGCTGGTTCTCCTAGGCCTCCAAGGCTGGTATCAGGCCTTGCCACATCTTCCTTTCCATGATTAAAAGGAAATTCATACTTTTGTATTAGTTTCTGTAGCCTGGGGTCAAACCTGTGGGGGACAAAAAGTCTTTTATCTGTGCTTGCCTGTTAACCACAAGACAGTGTGAGGTGATCTTTACCCAGCCCTCTTAGTTTAAGTCGGGCCTGCAACATGTTGGGGCTTTAAAAAACAACCAAGACAACAAAATAAATCCTTGGTCGTGAAGAGAATCCAAGGCTTTGGAAAATGCTTTGATCCAGTGCGGAACTGCAACAATTGGAAAAGTTATTTTAAACAGTTAGGTGATCATCTGACTAGAAATCGCTTCATCCAAAGGAATAATCTCCACAGCTAATCCAGTTGTCCATATGAACAGGCTGATTTGTTGACATTGGGCTTACGTTTATACACACTCAGGAGTAATTTTGTATAAAATGTTCCACCTGCTTCATCATCAGCATTGCCCAGATTTCTCCAGGTGCTGGTTCATTGCCTACTCTTACTCTTCTTACCTTCCATATGTTTTCTGTGCACTCTCCCATGGCATCGATGGCCTATTCCAAATAGTTGCTTTTTCCAGGTATTTTCACTTCACTGCTCAGCGTGTGAACTTCCCATCTCTAATTCTTTCCTTCAGTCTCCTGCATAGTTTTGTTCTGGCATACATCTCATTATGTTTATTTAAGCTTGTCAGCAAAAACCCATCTTGCCAGGCTCCTTGTGGGCAGCACTGCAATCCAGCCCTGGATTATATTACTTTCTCTGCATGTTTACTGGCACTTTTATTCAGCCTCTTCCCCAGAAACCCTGGAACCACGTTGAGCACAGAGTGGTTCCTCTGTACACAGACCCCATGTCCACTGCAAGAGAGAGCTCATTAAATTTTAATCCCAGCCAGAAAACCCTGCTGCTGTTAGACACATTTTTGCTTGCTTGTTGTTGAAGAATGTGCTTCTGTGATTAAAATATTCGGCCTTTGTACTCTCCCTTCGACACACAGGCTTGTTTTTGTGACGATCATGTGCGAAGTAAGGTTTTCAAGCAGGAAAAAGGGAAAAAGCCTCCTTGCCCTAAATGTGGCCATGAAACTCAGCAGACAAAGGATCTGAGCATGTCAAGTAAGCCAGTTTCTCTAGCTAACAAGCCATAAAAATGCCATTCGTGATTAATCTCTACCTAGGAGCACTGAGTAAAGTCTGGTTACATTCAATTGTTTTGCACAGTTTTGCTTCACTTGTTTTGAGAAAAACTTTGTGTTTCTGAGTTCTGGAATTGAGCAGTCTCATTCTTAATAATTAATTAATTCTAAGAAAATGAAAGCTTTTGTCTAGTTTGAGATTTTAGTTGTGGAAAAATGAAAAATAATTGCCATTTAAACTACTCTTCAAGTAGTGAAAAAAAGATAGAAATGAAATGTTGGATTGGTGGGAATATGATGGTTTTTCTTTGCCTGCAGCACGTTCTTTGAAGTTTGGCAGACAGACTGGAGGAGAAGATGCAGATGGAGCTTCTGGTTATGATGCTTACTGGAAAAACCTTTCCTCCAGCAAGACTGGGGATGCAGGTGACCGTGAGGATGAATATGATGAGTATGAAGCAGAAGATGATGATGAAGATGACAATGATGAGCGAGGGAAGGATTCAGATTCTGAGGCCACGGATGTATTCAGCAATTTGAATTTAGGAAGGACCTATGCTAGTGGGTATGCACATTATGAGGAATCAGATGATTAAGCTTAGTATTCTGGCTTTGGAATGAGCCAAGCAATGCTTCACTGAGTTGTATACATGCTACTAGGATAGCTCTGTCGGGTACTTACGTATCAGAGTTAGAGAGCAGAGAGTGTCAGACTTCTGCAGTAACTCCAAAGGACATTTTTCCTGTAGATGAACTGATGATGGGTTTGGGATTGGGGGAGAAAATCAGGGTATTTTTATTCCCCTAAACAACAGAATGGTTTTGTCCTTGAGTTACTGAGTATAATGGTTCAATACCATTTTCTCCTATCAACACAGGAATGTGGGAAAGCTGTAGCTGTTGCTTCCGTTTGCTCATCAGAAATGAAGTTATTTTTTACAATAATTTTGTTAACTGATTTCATACATTATGCAGTGGTGGGTTGGTGACTGCATTTTTTTTTTGGTCTGCACAATAAAAGTCAACTGCATCTAATAAACTGTCATAATTATTGATCTCCCTTGAATAGCTGGAAGGCAGATTGTGTACGAAGTGTAAATTGACACTTAAATTACTTCCTTTTTTATGTCAGTATGGCAGATCAATGTAGTTCTTTGTGTATTTGCACATCACCTTTTCAGTATTTTTATTAATAGATATTAATTGGTGAGGCTATATATAGTCACTATAAGAACACCCTAGATAATTGAAACTTGTATGGAAATAAAATGTTGGTATCCTCTCTGCCACAAAAATATGTAAGGCAGTTTGCCATTAGATGAAAAGGAGACTGGTTTCTTCTCTATCTAGTCTTTAACTCTTTTCCTTGCATATGATAAAAAAAATTAGATAGGAAACAATGCTGTATGTGAACTGAGAAGGTGAGAAAACACGGGGGGGTTCAAAATGCCGTGTCCAAATACTGTTCTGTGCAAGCCTGCCAGTACAAGGCAAACAATCAGCACTTCTGAGCTGAGAAGGTGACACCTGCAGAAGTGTTTGCAGTGGTTCTGATTTGAAAGTGAACATGTTAATTACCCATCTACAGATTGAAGTGATGGCATTTATTTTCCCTCTGTAGGGTAATGTTTTACAGCAGACAGATCATAATACAAGGGCAGCCAACCTGAAGTGTTTCTCAGGCTTTCTAAATGCCATGCCTTAATGGAAGAGAGCCCTTTTTGTTATCTGTCAAATACCTGAACTGATTATACCATTACCTGCTTTTGTGGTGTTTGCCTACTCTTTCTAAAAAGCTAAAGGTCATGTGTTAGCAGAGCATACCCTACTGAGAATAATTTTTAATGATGTTAAGGTTGCCAAGTGAACATTTTGTATCAAAACAGGATTGGAAAACGTGGTCTTGATACTTTCTTCCTAAATGCATCTCCTACCAAATGGATGAAAGACAAGAGCTGGGGTCCACCCAGGACAAAAGCAAGCTGCCAGAGAGCACAACTTGGTTATGGCAGCTGAGGGAGAAACTGTGTAGGAGAGAGGGGCACAGCTGTTTAGTGCATGCCTTCAGAACTGGAGAGGAAACAAGTCAATGCACTGTCTGAAAGCAAATCCCCTTCAAACATTGAAACATCCAATATCATGTGCAACAGCCTATTTTAAATGATGTACCTGAGAGATGATTAGTCTTTGTCATAACCAAATTTGAAGTGATGGAAGTGGGACACTGCCAATTCAACACTGATTATTTGTGAACTTGGCACGTGTGAGAGAATTTCTGCTCAACTTCATGTGGTCCAAAAACTTCCACAATGAATCCATCTGTGACTGGTCAATTCCAGCAACCAATGCCAGGTTTTAAATCTTGGCTGGTGTATTAAATACAAAACACTTATACATCAGTACCAAGTCCAATACAGAACTGAGGAAAATACATGTGCTTCTCCATATATGTAAAATTATGGCTGCTTGTGTGTCATTTATTAATATTACTTAGCCACACAAAACCCCTCTTTAAGGTTCTTGGCTCTTGAATTAGGTTTTTCCCCTCTGAAATCTGGTGCTGTCACTGGCTGTGCCAAAGGCTGCTGACATAACAGAATTAATAATCATAATCAGGATAAACAATTCATTTTCTCATTGAAGTGCCCTTGCACTGATCCTTGCTAGATCAATACTCCAAAGCTCATGTGTGTTCCTATGGCACACTGGAAGTGAGGGTCACAGCAGTGCCTACAGCAGATGCTCAAGGTACCTGTAATTTAGCAAGGTCACTACTCAGTGGACATTTATTTGCTTTTCTTTTGTGCTGCTGTTCAGATGATTGAAAATGCCTGTGCTGTCAGCCTGTCTAGAAATTGGGATCAGGAATTAGTCCTGCAATGCCTGGCCTTCTAGGGGCCAAAACAGGCAAATTTAAGCTGCTTTAAAGTAATCTGGTGGATTCAGGCTGGAACAGACAAACATGTCAATCTGTAGCAACACAGGCCAGATAGGATGTGATGTGTTGTGTTTTCTCTGCTCATTCAGTACAGCTAAAAGCAGCTGCTCTGTTTGGGACAGGTTAGCTTTCAGAGAAAGTGCATAATTTTGGTTATCTTAAGGTAAATGGCAGGAACAGGATGGAACAGAAAATGAACATATATTTTGACTTCATTGAAAAGCAGGTCAGGTACAAAATCATATTGGCTCCATTTGCCTTCGTTGTTATACATTTCCTTTAAAAACACTGTCCCTGGTTAAAGGTAGTTCCGATTTGACAGTGGGACAGTTCTAACATGTAACCAGTAATACCCATGAGTTATGTGTTGTACTTCAGGAAGCTAAGACCTCAATAAAATCTTACACTTCAGGTTTTTTAACCTGTGATGACCATTTAACCAAAGCTTAAGTAGGACTTAAAGTCACAGCAGCATTTATTGTGCCTATAGAACCTGAAAATAAAAAGTCATCTCTGTAAGCTCTTGTCTCGCATTTGTTTATTATGGTGACAGCATCAGCTCATTATGAATTCATTGGGTGTTCCTGTAGATTTAATGCATTTTCCTTTAAACTCAGGTGTAATTTAGCACCTGTGACTGGGAGTCTTTTGATCAATCCAGTATTGCTAGTTTTCTTTCCAGAAAATGAATGGGAAGATCATTATAATATACCGAGCAGCAAAAAGTAGTAGCAGGCATGTCACACAGAGCTAGAGGACAAACTTAGAAGTGCTCAGAGTCCTCTTTGTTTAGGCAGAAAGGTATTGGTGTGTCTTGAAACATACTACATGCATCTGTGCAGGTCCTGATTTCCGATTTCCAGAGGAGCCAATGGCAAAGTTCCCATTTCTCCAAGTGGAAACAATTCAATAATCTTCAGTATCTACAGTTTACCTTAAATGTCAGAAGGTGTTATGAAACACAACATGAGCATAAGCAGAAGTGAGGAAGATGAAGCAAAGCTTTTAACATGAGGTTAATATGTTAACCATGAGCATGAAAATATTTGAAATTTCAACAGATTCACTGGAAAGTGCTCTAAAGACTGAAAGATGAAGCTGCTTAAACAGGAAGAGACACGATTCTACAAGATGCAGAAATGTAATTACTCATCTCCCGGAAGTCTTCATGTAATTAATGAATATTTTCTATAAGCTCAAAGCACTTAGGACACAGACAAATTTTATCATCTCTTTTTTTAGGTTCATAAATAGAAAACACAGCAGTTGACAAAATCACAGCATGAACTGTCCACTTGGCAGCAACCTTCTGCAGCTTGGACTCTCCATCTCCTACCCATGAAGCTCCAGACTAAACATATTTTATGACACTCCTTTATTAAGGTTATGTGTGCTGTAATTGGCTACTACACATGGGAAATTTGAAGCAAAGCCTAGTTTTTAGCTTTCATAAGCAGGATAGACAACAAAATCAGCATGACAATGTAAAAGATGTGAAGAATAATCCATAGAAAAGCCACTAGTTTCCCTTTGCTAAACAAACAGTAGGTTCACAAGCCTGTACTTCAGTATGGAAGGGGGAAAAAAATAAATTGCATTTCTGTGTCTCACCAAATTAAGCTACTACAGATAAGCACATTTGCTGAGAAACAACTGCAAAGCATAAGAAAGCCTATTGTAGCTATCCCAACTCCTACTATTTTCTAACACTAAAGTATGCTAAAGTGTTTGTTGCATTCTTTTAAACCTCACTTCCGCAGCCTGTGATTCTCCCAAAGTGTTTCCCGAACTTAAATGTAACTCGAAATTCACTTTGGTTTCCTTCTGAAATGAGAAACACTGACTACCTCAGGGCCCAAGTAATGTTTTCACTTCATCTTGATGTTACATCACATCTATTGTAAAGTTTCACCTTACAAAAACACTAATTAAAAAAAAAAGAATTATTAGAGTGTAAAAATGCCAATTCCCCTACAATTTCCTTAATAGGTAATAGAAGTATTTTACTGCTATAGTTGCCTGTTGCTGTTCCTATTGTTTTATTTTTGGCAAGGAGTAAGAAGTTGATTATTTTGAAAGTGAATCCCTGCTAGCCAGGGACATAAACCCTTGGGGTGCCTCCTGTCTGATTTAAATTCAGCACCTTATTTTGATGGCAGAGACCAGGATGAGCCCCTCTGAGATTTTCCCACCATCAGGAGAGGTGTGCAAAGACTTCACCCTGAATGTCAACACCAATTCACAGGGTGAGCCAGCTCAAGGTGGTAACAACTGAATCCTGACCTTTCACTAGCCTACTTTGGAAACCTGGAGAAACCCAAATGCATCCTGCCTGGAAAAATAACTACTGCAAAGCTGCATCCCATGAGAAGGTATTTGCACTCTGCTTTCTTCCTCAGGAATAACAGAGTATGTCCACAAGCTTGTACTGAACTCATTATTACCATTTTTACATTATTAAAAAATAAACAATTGAGCACAGATTTAAGCAAGAAAATTATGTAGGAAGTTCAATAAAGATGTTTCCCTATCCAGAGCTGAACAACAAAGCTGTACTGAGTGCTTTGGAGGAAACGTATGCAGAGGGCAACACCATATGTTCACAGTTGGCTTTTTCAGCATCCCTCTCTTAAGTCTGGCAGTGTAGACCAAGAAAGCATTATTCAGAGCTCAACCTTGGGGCTTTTGTTTGCCAAAGTATTCACAGTTCCTATGGAGCACTGTGCAATTCCTTACCAGGCATTTAGCAGATACAACCACTGCTGCCAGATTTGGAACATTAAAATAATTCAGAAGTTAGATAATAAATTGCATTCCTTCCACATTCTCCACACTTTCTTGATGCTACATGCATTTCAAAGATCCCCTCTTGACATTTACCTGCTAGTACTGCACAAGAACACTGCTGTGATCTACTGTCAAAAGCATTTCCGAGCAGACAGGGCCAACATAAAACATAGTATATTCCATCTAAGCATAGACGCACCTTCAGAAAAATACTGCTCTTCTGTTCAACAATTCCCAAAGTCAAACAATTCCCAAATCAACAGCTTAAGAAGCCTTTCCTGCAAGCAACATTGCTGACCTTGGTTTAAGTCAGTAGGTTTTAGTCAACTGAGGGCAGACCGGTGCCCAGCATCCTACTGGTGCTCAAGCATGGATTCCCACCATTCCCTGGGCTCTGTCAGAACTGCTGCACCCTGTGTAGCCACCCCTACAAGTGCCAGAGCTCACTCCCAAAGGAAACCACTCACGGCCACAAGCTTTCCTCCTCCTCTGCTTGCCACCACCTGCACCCAACCATCACATTTCCCCTGCAGAGAAACCCAAGCTGTTACTCACCCATGGGCAAAGCAACTCCAGACCAACCAAAGCTCCTTGACACCCCACAGCTCACTCACTACCTGCTTCCCTTGTTATAACCTCTCTCCCACCTGCACCTGTTCAGCAGGGCCCATCTGACTCTGTGTGGGGCAGGTGTGCATGGCTTCTCTCCTCAGCTGGTCTCCAGCATTCCCCACACATGGCAATTCCTGCAGCCCTGGACTGTTGCTGTTGGATGAGCTGCTATGGCTGCTCTGCACATTTGCAGATGCTACACGATCAGATACTAAATCCTGCTGTACTTTCTTCTTCAGAAGATAAAATGTTGCAGCATAAAGTATAAATAACATTTATCCTATTTAAGATGTGACATATCTCCTATGCTATGCTATTTTATTATATCTAAAATGAATTTGCAGATGATGATATATATTTGCTGCTGACCCTGAATGTTTTATCTTAAAATGTCTTTCTACAATGCCTTCATAATGTATTAATATGACTATTTCAGCTTCAAGAAAACTAAAATATTACCTCATGGTCTTTTATACGCTATAATTTTTTCTTGGATATTAAAAAAATATATTACAGCTATATCACATAATTAACATTGAAAATGAGCCAGAGTCTCTAAAGTACCATTTAAAAATATCAAAAGTCTTTGTCCTTTTGGAGATGTTTGGTTCTCAGATAATAACTTGCTTCCAGGTTTATACAGAAAATTAAGAGGTCTTCCCACTTGCTCCATGGCTGCTCTCACAAGCTGCAGCCCAGCAGGAGAGTGCGCCCTGGGGTGATAGGCATTGCTGCAGCTGACAGAGAATTAGTGTCAGCCCAAGCAGTGATCTGACCCGTGAAGTTGCAGGACACGATGTTTTGTTTCCAACTAAGCTCAGGTTCTTGGGTGAGATACCCTAAGGTGAGAACAAAAGCCAAAAGATCTGTCATGTTCTTTAGCAGACTAAGTCTAGAAACTGCATTTTGTTCTAATACATGGAATATTGCCAAACTACATTACTAATAAACCTGAGGATTGTTTTTCCTGTACTTGTCACTTGTAGTCCTTCAGCTCCCCAGGTGCTCTGTGGGTTGTGGTCTTTTGCTCAGAATAATTTCAGTGCTTTTCTCCCCTGCCAAAGCCCCACTGTTGCCCACTCACCTTTAGGTTCAACTGAACTGCAGGAGTTGATGTCTAGTCCAGTAAGCCATGACTGTGTTAGGATGGGCTGGGTGCCAGTGGAATGCAGCCTGTGGACTGTCCTTGGATAGCTTTCCACTTGTTCTGAGCCTGTGGGACCTAAGAGGGTCCTTTCAGACACATTTGCAACTGTGGCAGGGTCTGCACCATTGTGTTGCCCTTCTCCCAATATTAATGTTCCTCCTGTCACTAATATTGACCATTTGATGTGTGAGATTAAGCCTTGGAAGTTGCTTTTGCAGTATGGTAACTGATGGAGAGCCCAAGTACAACTCACTTCTCTTTACCCAGAACTGGCAGCTGGGAACAGCAGGAGGCAATTCTTATCTCAGGAATCTCAGCCCAGCACCACTTGCTGCTTTCCAGGGAGCCGTTTCTGCCTAAAGAATGAAGTCTAATCAAGGACCAAGGCAAAGAGCACAAGATCCAGCTGCTTGCAGAGTTTGTGCTCCCTCGAGTAATGCCTCTGCTCAGAGCCTTGCAAACCCAAGCTAACAGCACACAACATTTCATTCTGAAGCTGAACAAAAAGACCAGCACAGAGAGCTGTTTGTGTGCTTTGGTTTTCTGCAGACAACAGGAATCTCCAATTTTTGAGATTCAAAATTCATGAATACACATATAGCATTAGTGGCTGTAGTTTTAAAAGCCCTCACTGAAGACTCAGCTCAAATTGCCTCTGTTAAGTGTAGGAAATCAGCAAACAATAATTTCCTGTCATTTAAATTACAAGAGTTGTGCAATTGATCTCGGGAAAGTTAGGAATGTGCTGAGATAACAAGTATCCACTTGCAATCACAGAATCACCAAATTAATTAGGTTGGGAAAGACCTCCGGGATAATCAAGTCCAACCTCTGACCTTGTCACCCAGACCATGGCACTGAGTGAGCTGTTTGAATGTGTGAATGGCGATTGCACCACCTCCCTGGGCAGCCCGTTCCAATGTTTAACACTTTCTGTGAAATTCTTCCTGATGTCCAACCTGAACTATTCCTGGCACAGCTTGAGGCTATTTCCTCTTGTCCTGTTGTTTGTTGCCTGGCCACAACCTCCTGTGAGAGAGTTTTAGAGTGATAAGGTCCCCCCCCCCCCCCCCCCGAGCCCCCTTTTCTCCAAGAGAAACACCGAAACACCCTCAGCTCTCTCAGCTGCCTATCACAGGACTTGTGCTCCCTCAGACCCTTCCCAGATCCACTGCCCTTCTCTGGACATGCTGCAGCACCTCAATGTTTTTGTTGTAGTGAGGGGCTCCGAGTTGGACACAGCACCTCGAGGTGTGGCCTTACCAGTGCTGAGTGCAGGGGGAAAATCACTGCCCTGGTCCTACTAGCCACACTATTGCTGATCCAGGCTAGGATGCCACTGGCCTTCTTGGCCACCTGGGCACAGCTGGGATCATGTTCAGTTGGCTGTAGACCAATTGTTACTATATGAGCAATCAAACATTATATCTTGCTTCTAAGAGCCCAATCTGAAAACAGTTTTTCCAAACTCAGCTTTCACATATACTGAGACCTCTGTTGCCATCTTAATTGGAAATTTATGGAACACTGGATCAACTGTTTCCTGATACAGTCACACTCTGCAGGGAAGAGGAAACCAATATCATGCTTGACTGACTGAAGGAATACCTTTTAGAGGCGTGGAAGACGAAGTAGAAGTGTATGAGGTGGAACTCCCAGGTCTACTGTATACTGCAGTATATTCTGAGGTGCTGGAATTGCATGCTGCCAGTTCAGATTGATCCTGAGATCTGGTTGCATCAGTCATCTTCATCATCATTCTTATTTTTGCCATGGAAAGGGAAGTCTGTAATTTTACTCTTGCATTTTGATAGCCACCATGAAATATTTCATCATGGCTGAAATGGTGAAAGCTGTTTCTCCATCTGTGCCTGTAAGCCACAAAAGCACTAGTTTTTCATATGAATAAATCTGAGTTCTATAACACTTTGAAGATCCAGAAAGTTTTTAAAATTATCTGCCTTTTCTAATGCAACTACTCCAAACATTTGGATTCCAGATTTATCCCATTGTGTCTTTATTAGTATAAGAGTAGCTTTTGACCAGATGGTCTTAATTTTGTGCTTCTAAATATTACAGAACTTGCACTGTCAGGAGAAAAGGTCCTTCTGTCACTTGTCCTTTTTACACAGAGAACACTCAGTTATGTGATACATAAACTACATCACTGGCCAGCTGAAAGAACTAACACGGTATTTATCTGGTTTCAGATCCATCCAGCTGATTATATGATAGCTCAGGTATTAAACTGCCTTTGTGATTTCAATTACCTACCTTTTATATGCCTGGAAAGTAAAGTTATCAGCATAAACCTAATAAAGCAGAGAGTTCTATAAAAGTGGCAAGTGAGTTACTGCAATTGCTTTGGACAGTGTAACCTACTTCTGCATACACAGATGGGGAAGGTTTACTTGTTGCCTAAAATTTATATGTGCAGAAAGAAAAGCAAGACACAAAAGCAACCTTGTTTCCTCTACAAACTCATCTTCTCCCCATTGCTGTCCTGTCTCCCATCCCCCACCTCTCCAGCAGCCAAAAAATCAAATTTATTGCTTTTAAAGGCGAGGGATGAAATAGGACTATACTGTAAAGTGAAGGAGAAGGTAAGGTGAAGGAGGAGGTTATTAACTAAAATTATATCACAGCTTAGGGGATAAGAGTAACAGTCTAAAGATGTAATGAATTTCAGAAACCCAAAATGCAGCTGTTTTAAATTATATTTTTTATATTTGATTGATCAGGCAAATGTGTTACTTTAGAGATAAGGCAAAAGTTATCATGCTAAGAGATGGTTTCTGGTCACACTGTCATCTGGTTAAAAAGATGCAGCACCCAAGGGCTTCTGCTTGTTTATTAAAAACATCTGTTTTATTTCCAGAAGAGTAATTTAAAATCATTGCTTCAAAAAGGGTGTGACAGAGCTGGAAAGACAGAGTTAGTTAAAGTCTGTGATATTACAGGGACCCTGACTCTTCTCTATCCTGCATATGATTGTCAGTCACACCAGAGGCCTGACAATTTCAGCTAGACTCCTGTACTGCCCAAGAGGTAACTGGAGTATGTCAGTGTGTGGTTCACATATGTGGGTTTAACTTCTGCTGAGGATCCTGATGTCTCTGTGAAAGGGATAAAAGCCAGCCCAAAGCAGCGGAGAAGCCCCAGCTTCCTGAGCCAAGGTGCTTCAGAAGGATGTAGCACCTGAGCCGCGTGGGTTGAAGCTCATCTGGGTGTGTCTGAGATGGGCCTGCTGCCCCAAAGCAGAGTTGTGGACAGTGGGGATGACATCATCTCTAACACCAGGCCTGATGTTGCAAGTCTGATGCTGTGCCTCCCTGACCAATTTACAGCAGAGTCTAAAGGCCCCTAGAGCAGCCGCTGCTTGGAAGAGTGTCCTGCACAGTGGGACTGGGATCCCCAGTCCCACTGTGCAGGACTCACATGCATGTGCTCCAGGAGGGCATTGCACAGGAGAGGGATTGGAAGCAGCAGAATTGCTGCAGCTCCAGCATGGGGGTCACCAGGGAAATCCCCGGCTGAAGCACTAACCTGCATAAACTGCTTCCTGGGCTTGGACAAGGCCCCTCACCAAGGAAAAACCCCTGCTCAGGCCTTATCTCTGTGGTGCCAAGTAAGAAGAGGCAACAGCGAAAAACGGATGGACAGGTTGTTCTACCTCAACACTAGAAAAACTTCTTTACTGAGCACTGAGCACTGGAATAGGCTGCCCAGAGAGGGTGTGGAGTCTCCCTCACTGGAGATATTTAAGAACTGTCTGGACACAATCCTGTGCCATGTGCTCTGAGATGACCCTGCTTGAGCTGGGAGATGGGAGCAGATGACCGACTGTGGTCCCTTCATGACCCATTCTGTCACTCTGTGATTCTGTCTTTGCTTGAACTGACAGAGGGGAGAGAGCCCTTATGCTGGGCAATTGTGGCTTCATAATGCCACTGCCTTTAGATCCAAGTATGTCAAAGGCAGAGGGAATGATGGAGAAGCACCTATCTTCAGATGTGTTTCATTTCACCTCCCACTCACAGAACCTAAAGACAGAATACAGTGAATAGTATTTGAGGACTGAGTTCACTTTCTTTTCAGCAGCATACTGACTTCTTTTAATGTTTGCAAAGTTTTTGGCTATAAAAGATGCATATGGCTGAGAGGTTTTTCTCGGTCTGTAGTCACTGTCACAAAGGAATTCCTCCAGACTCCTTTTCCTTTCTTACTTAGCTCCTCAGAGACCTCTGCTGCTGTCCCTAGCAGGGGACCAAGGGGAAACAGCTTCAGTTGAAGCTCCCCTTGTAGCAACAAAGCACCATTGATCAGCCACATCTGATAGTGCCAGCTTTTTGAAGCTGGCACACTTTTAATGCCTGGCTTCTCTCTGTATTTAAGGTTCAGGTACGCAATGTAAAGAACTCCCCAGGAGAGTAATTTTCTTTATTTCATCCTATTGAAAAGAAAATCTCCTGCAGCTGACCACCCCTGTAAACATCAGTTCAGATCCATCGCAGGCCAGGCATGGGAGGTCCTGAGGTCCTATTCCTAACCTCCAGTGAGCTGCCACTGGCAGGTGCACAGAATTGGGAACACCAGCCTGGAGACATCCAGGCTGGGATTAGAGCCCCTGGGTTATGGTCAGCTGCACTGGTACTTATTCAGGGCAGTCCCTTTAAGCAAACCAGAGTTATTTTGTATTTATACCTAGGTACTTACTGGGCTGTTGCATTGAAAGATCCTAATATTGCTTTCACCCCTGTGGGATATTGATTTTAAGAAAATACTCTATGCTTCATTTCTTAAGGTTGCAACATAACTTAAGAGATCATATACTTAGGGATTCACTCCCATTAATTTCTAGCTTATGTTCTCACTCTTTCACAACACCAAAATATCAGTGGCTTTAGCGTTTTCAAAAGAATTTCCTCTGAGAGCACACAGGGGAAAAAAGAAGGCAAAAAATAAGCTTTTATTTAAATAACACCATTCATGTATTACCTTTGAGCATGAAGGAAGAGTAATAGAAAGGCCCTTCCACTTACCTTTTCTTTGAGCAGGCTAAAACCCCCATTTATTCCTTGATGATTGACTTTTGTTTGTTTAGTGTGGCACTTATTCCATTCTTGTTCACAAATTTAGCAAGCATGAATGTTTGCTATAGTTGACATCAGTGGAATTTTATCAGCAGAGAAGTAGACAAAAATGTAAGTACTACTGACAGAAGAGGCAGTGTCTGAAAGAAAAAAATATGCATTTTCTGTTATTGAAATGAAGGAAAATACTTGTCTGTTTGTAGCTATATTCCTTTGAAGCACTACAAAACCCCATGAAAATCTAAATGTTAGAGACTGTATAATCACTTAGAAAGTTAATGTGCATAAACATACATAAAATGATTGTTTGCTTTTTTCCTGCACAGCCTTTTTACTGTATTACTGTATAAATCAGACCCACTTTATTTTCACTTGCTTAGCTTTGTACTCTTTGAAAAGCATCTCAATGAATGAATACATATTTCTAGATCCTTACAGCCTTAAGCCCCAAATTTATTACTATATTTTCACAGCAAAAAAAGGCCTTCCAGACATTTTTCTATGAAACATATTACTGGAGATAGGAGTAGGAGATTTAATGGCTCAAAATATGATTTCCAGTCTGGGAGGTGTGTGACAAATCTGAGTGAAAATGTCATGTCACGGAAGAGTAGAGAGTCCCTACAGGAGAACTGGAAATTTCCTAGCCCTGTCCTGTTGTGGTGGCAGCTTGGATAATGACGGACACAGCTGCCTGAAGATTGGAATATTTTCTTTCTTGCTCCTGCTGGTACCCAAGAGCACATGGACATGGTTGGGTTGTATGGATGAGATAGGTACAAGTCATAGCCATGCAGAAACCAGGGGAAAAAATCACCCTGATCATTGGAAGCACATGGATCCAGTGAGGCTTCAAAGCTGGGCTACAGCATGCTCCGCTGGCAGCGCATCCCTGTGTGCCTCAGAAAGGGTGATCCTGCAACATAGGGATGAAAAATGATGTCTCTCCCATGCCAAATGCAGTGCTGGTTTAGAGAGAGTAGGACAAACCAGAAAGGGTGGTAATGGAGGTCCTGCCTCAGGATTGTACTCTGAATGCAGCAATATCACAGGAGAAAAAAACACAGACAGGTTAGGGAAATGTTGCAGGGCAGAGAAGAGTCACGCAATTTTTTATTCTAATTGATCAGGAATTTGTTAGATAGCAAACCCCTGGTTGTGTGTGATGCATGTCGTACACTCAGAGAGATGTTTTGCAGGCACACAACACTTCTTGTTGCAGCAATGCCTTTGGCTGTAGTCACATGTGGGATTGGTTCTGGATGTTCAGAAGGGGAAGAAGTATCATCTCCCTCCATGAAAGACAGACAGCCTGATAGGTTTTTCTTGCTGTTCTTACATCAGTTATGGCTTTCTCTTTTGGCTCCTATTTGCATTTTACCCAAACACCCTGCCCATGCACATTCTGCCCTCAGGGACCACAGAGGTTATAAGCATAGGTGGTGGTGGGGAGAAGGGACCCCACAGTGTCCAAAAGTGGTCAGTCCAACTTCCAGAAAGGGACTTCAGTGACAATATGTGTCACAGTAGTCCTTGCCAATGGCACAATGACTCTGCCTCTAATGTAGATGTCTGTCTAATGGGCACTGAGCTAAGACCAACAAAATACAAGTCACACAGGCCTGAACAGTGATGCTAATGACTTCTGATTACCACTGACTCAAGCTGTAGCTGTATTTTATTAACACTGTACAGAGTGAGTAGAATTCCAGATGGAATACAAAGTACCTTTTCTCTTGTTTGACCTGTAATTGCAAAAGCTTAAATTTAGTACTTGTAGCTATTTTATGATTGATCTTAAACAGCGCATTTGCTATAGTGGACCATTCAAACTGGGAATGGAAACATCCCACAGAACTGGTCTATGATTTCTATGATGCAAATAAAAATATTCCTTTCCATTTTGTCTTTCCATTTTTATTGCTTCCCTAGGTCAATTGAAACAAAATTGTCCTTCACAGGTCAAGCTATGGCTGCTTTGCTGACAGGAAAAAAGACAGTTCTTTAGATCATTAGAGCCCTGGAGATGTTATAGCAATCCAAATGATTTGCATTTCTGAAGGAAAAGCTTTTATTTCTGAACTGTTCACCTCTTATTGATCTAAAAATGTGCCTTTTTTTCCCCTCATGAAAATGCCTGTCCTTAGAATTGACAAAGTAAGACATATTCCTAGCCTTGATGTGCCACCTCTCCATCAGCTCCTCCATCCCTGAGGAGCTGCCCATGGCACTTTCAGCGCAAGTGATGATCATGGAGGAAATGAGTACTTTGGGCAGTGGAGCTGCACTAGGACCTAGTGGATAAAGAGGAGGTGGAAGACTAAGCCTTGGCTCAGGGACCAGATGGGCCACTTCCTGTCACAGGAAGGAGGCTGCTCTTGTTCTGTCAGCTCCAGAGCCCAGGAGCTTTTTATGAACTGGTTGCTGGCCGGCAAAACTGTGCACCCTTCACAGAGTTTGAGTTTAAGTCCGAAGTGGATGTTTAGACGAGACTCTCTCACATCCCTGTCAGACAGGAAACACGATGCCCTCACACCTTGACTCCCTCCTCAGTGGGGCTGACACAGTGCCGTTTTGGGACGTGACGGGGACAAGGCAGATGCTCAGACTTTGAACAAGAACAGCAGATATTGGACTGGTGGCACCTGTAGGACCTACACCTCTATTGCATTTTCTTGCCTGAATCATCTGGGCACCATGTTTTGCTTTTCTGCTAGGTTCCCTTTTGTCCAAGAGGAAGGCATCCTTGCCTCTGGGCAGAGGGTGGGTGAGGCTGGGTGCTGCCTTTGAGAAGGCTTCCCTTCCCTGGGAAGCTTTATATGGCTCTTATTTTTATACAGATCTTATTTTCAGCTCTTGTGGTGGCTGTCACTGGTGCTCCCAAGAGAGGCCAGGGCCATGCCCCAGACAGTGCTGGCCTGTGGAGTTCAAGTCAGGCTCAGGAGACAAATGAGAATGCATGAAAAAAGTATGTGGCAAAAGTTAATGGAAAATAATGCCTCATTGCTCACAGAGAGGTTATTAAATTTCTAAGGCATTTATGAAGAAATAAAATGCATTCTGCAGCTGGAGAAAAAGCTTACCCCACAACTGCCATGTTCCCCTCCCCACCTTCCAGCAATCCTCTCACTTATTAGCAGTTCAACATCACTTTTCTTTGAAGTACAAACTGTATTTTACTAATATTATTTCCATTCGTGCTGTGGAAATGAAACTTATGACAGTGTTGATTTCTCAGATCTCCTCAGAGTCTTTGAAATTTGCATTAGATTATTCTAATCACTTAGCCTCATTGTATATATTTACACAAGAACTTTTGATGTTTAAACAGATGAGGCTGCAATGAGATGTGCAGGGAGAAATATACACCCATAAGGAAAGGAATGCTCTTTTTTCTCAGACCACATCTTAAACTTGAAGTTCTCAGATAAAACAGTGGGTCAGTGCCTTTGGGACCTGAGGGAATGACTGTTAGAGTGGGAAGATGGAGGGATTGGCTCTGCCTTCAGCAGCAGACAGCAGAGATGGATCGGGGCTGGGTCCCTGCAATTAAGAGGAAGGAGGTGAAGACTCGTCTTCTCGCACCCTTTATCACCAATGTAACCTGTGCTCCTGGCTATCTGTCAGGAGAGATGGTCTAGCCCGAACACATGATGAATGAACTCATATCTACAGACACAAGATTCTGGGGACGGAGCAGTTGCCAAATCCCAGCTCCATAGAATTCAGCGGGAATAGTAAAATGTCCTTTGGGGACAGCAAAAAGCCTGGGACTGTGGTGCAGTTGTGGTAGTTCTGACCATGACATCCAGGCAAGTCCTGCAGGACCTGTGCTCCTGTAGGCAGAAGGCAGGGTATCTGGGATGCATTGCAGCCATATGTTCAAGTTAATTAATTTGTTTTCAGGGCTGGCTCTGTGAGATCCAGAAAGAGAAGCAACAGGAGTAGCCTTTACACAAGAAATGTGGGTAGGAAAAAGTGGAGGAGCACACCTGACAAAGGAGAAACAGCCCCGCCTTGAGGGCCGAAGGAGATAATCCTTCTGGAAGATGCAGGATATTGCCAGCTACCTCACATGAAGTTTAGCTTCCCAAAGACTGGGGATATTTCTATTGGCAATTCTTGAAGTATTGTTAGAAAAAAGAAAGAATATTTTGGATTATGATGTCAACTTTATTTACAATGAATTCTGGAGAAAATAATACATTATAATCCCTGTATGGCCATTCACTGAAGAGTTTGACTTTATGATCCTTGTGGGTTCCTTCCAACTGAGAATATTATGTGATTTTGTGATTCTGTCATTATCCAACATATTATCCTTAAAGACTGTAAAACCCATGACAAACTGTTTCAATAGAATTTTGATTCTACAACTTAAGATGGTGAAGCTTGTGGGTATGTACCTTAAAAAAAAGAGAGGAGCCTGGTCCAAGAATATGCATTTCCTTAAACTCAGTAACACATGTGAGCAGACTTCTCACTCCCACACTGAAACTGATCTATCCACTCAGACACGAAAATAACATGTTTTGAATAAGTCTAACATTTTGAGTTGTCACCAGTGGGGACAGCTTTCTCCAAAAGCAGAGAAGATCTTTTAGCTCCCCTAAGCTTGTAAACCATGTAGAGTCAATTGAAAAAATACACAACAAAATTAAAATACTCTGCTTTATGAGGATTCAGAGATCTAAAGAGTTTTTAAAAATAATATTTTCAACTTTGCAACCTTTTCACAAGCAAAAATTTCTAGAAGCAGTGCTCTCTCCCTTCCTAGGACTACCTAAAACAGGACACCCAAGCCTGAGCTGGAAGAGGACTGAGCTGAGCTCATTGCCAATGCTGGATGGTCAGTCACAAAATTCCTACTGTCCTCTGAGGATGCAACAGAAGGAACACCTCAGGGCTTTCATTCTGGCTGATTTATTTCGTTCTTATTCCTAACTTGCAAGTTACAAGCCTTGCTGCACTGGTGAAGAGATACTGGGACCCATGTGAGACAGCCAGGAGAGAGAGAGAGGCTAATGGCCACTTCTCACCTCAAAGGAAAGGAATCTGTGAAGCAATAAGAAACACCATGAAATTCCTAACTTTTGTCCCCCACAAAATTGTGTTAGTACACACATCAGTACTCACATGG